ATATACATATATGACTGCTGGATTCAGTCATTTAATCTGAAGCTGGTTCCTTCATTTACATTTTAAACAAATATCCCTCTATTTACCTGTTCTGTATATAATACAGCAATGATTAATAGCAGCCACAATACATTTACGGTTACATAAAATTTAGCAGTACTTGCCACAATCCTGATGGTCATCAAAAACATCTTCAGCTTTACCAGAACTAATTATCATCTGCTTAGATATATAACATAGATACAGATTTATTTGTAATTCTTCATTCTGTACATTTTGGTAACTGTTCAGTTATGTGTGGGCAACATTCATTAAGCAAATGCATTCACAGGGCTAGGACGAACTGAACGTTATATACAGTATATGAAAATCAAGAGAACTGGTATTTAGAATAAATCTTTTTAAAAAGCAAATAGATGTTAGTAATCACTGCATGGGTTCATACAAAGTCTTGTTCAGACTGCCACATTCGTTTAAGGACGAGATAGGCTGCATGTAGGCATACATACACTTTGATCATTATAGTGCTGAAAATAAGGGCCCTCGTGTTCCTCACTTCATCCGCTACTTAGAGCAAACGTTTATGCTCTCTTTCCTCTGATTTAAACCTTTCTTCTGATTGGCTGCCCCTCGTAAGTAGAAAGTGGGTCTGGCTACTGTGAGCTGACCTGTGTGACCTGTCTATGTTGCTGGTCTCATTAACTGAAACTTTGGCAACATTTATTTTGGTGCTTGTAACGGAAAATATGGAAAAGCAAAATAGGCCACCTCTACAGTTTCTAATGGGATAATAAATTGGGCCAAAATAATGTATCAAGATTGCTGGAAGAAAAGGCAAAAAATGTATAAATGAATTGACATTGGTTCAGTTCACATATTTTATAGACGCACACCATACGGGCATAGCTAGGTATTTGGTTTTCCTGACATTTCTCGAGAAATAACTCTCACACATTGTTGAATATCAATGACTGAGGGGTGGGACACACACATTAATAAAAGGGTGATTGTTGACAATGCCCCGAGTAGGCAGAGGCATGGTTGGAATTGTGCTCCCATCTCAATACTGCGATTAAGACACTCACTGCTTACATATCAGCTCCGCTCTGCTCTAACATAATTCTCAAAGGCGAATTCTTTTGTCATGGTGTACAGGAGACGGCTAACCTAAACCACGAGCCTGAATCATTAAAGGAGCCAGAGAGGGTGACTCCAGTCTCCAGTCCCAAGGAAGAAAACGTTCCTGAAACTGACAACGGAGACAGTGAGCCCGTGGAAAGCAAAGAGGAGAGTAACCCAGAAGAGAATCCAGTTATGAACTTCTTCAAAACCCTAGTAAGTGGCATCATTTGGCAATTTAAGGTGACTTTTTATGCTCCTGCTATTTCTGTTTATCATGTCAAATTAGACTATTTGGGGGAAAAGGGAAAGAACATATGTACTTTTATCTGCTTCTTTTTCTGAAGAGAAACAGGCAAAAAAATAAAAAATAAAATAAAATGAGGTTAATGCGTCTTCCAGTTGTGCCCCAGTCAAAGTGAGATGTGTGGTCATTTTTCCAATCATTTAGCAGTAATAAGTAGTAATACGCTTGAAAATGTTTCATTAGTTTGTGTGTATTTTTGAATGTTTTTGTTCTATGTAGTGATGTGGGAAGGCGGTATAACTGTATATGACATTAAGTGTAACCGTAGCGAAATCTGCCATCATGACAGTGCCAGATGGAAAAGTTGCAACAAGCAGCTATTGTATTTCCTCTTCATCATGCTGTCTTTTGGATTCATGCCGTTTTAAAGAGTTGCCATTGCCCTAGCCCCATGCTAATCAAGTCTTTGAACATGCGGGAATGTGGTGGCCTATTGTTCATCCCATAGTGTGAGCTCACAAGGGAGGCCTGTGCAGTTGGAAGTCGAGATTTGTGAAGATAGAGCGAGGGCAGGCCTACGCCATCTCCGGAGCACAATGGCTGTCACAATGGCAGCGCATGTACTGTATGTGCTCTGTCAGGGACCTCTGTGGGCCTCAGTTAGCTTACCATAAAGGCCTATGTCTGCATTCATGAAAGGCTTCTGTTTTATCCAAATAATTATTTTTCTGTCTCATCAACTGTATCCCCTGGCATTTTGCTTTTCACACTGCTTAACCGCCACATACATAGTGCTCCACAATGCTTACACAGTTCACATTTAAAGATCAAGATTTTTTTCTCTTGTGTTTTTATGTGGATCACGGCACAAAAAATAAAGACGGTTCATTTTTATTCCTCTGTTGCACAGGTGACCCCTACTAAAACGTCCAAAAAGGAAACGGCTACTCCCGATGCCGCTAAAGACAAGGTGAACAGAGGTTCATTTTAACCTATCACTCTCTGCTGCTTTTATCAAACCATATCTCTGATTATCTAATACAGACAGCTATACAATGAGCTGTCACACCCTCGTCTGTTCTGTTTCTGTTGCTTGAACTAAGGATGTTCCTGAATTTAAAAAGTAACATTTATTTTTAAAAGGTGATTTATTTTTGCAGAATTTGTGCATAAAGCTTTTTTTTTTGCATCCTTTGTTTGCTTCAGTTTAACCTTTTTTATAAGTGCTTTCTTTTCTGTTGCAAAATAGTCCCAGAAGGAGACCCAACCAGCGGCAACCTCTACTGTGAGCATATAACCCATAAGTTTTGATTCCCATAACCATTGCACTTCACGTTAAATGTATATATTTACTGCACATGGTGAGTTTATTTAATTTCCGGATATGATGTCTTATTTGCTCATTTTACATAGCAATGCATTTTTATTGGGTGAAACTGGAAGGAAATACAGTTGCTGATATCATATCTGACAAAACTGCTACATCAAAAATGTCTTTGCAGTTTAAGAGGGCTGTGTAAACCATTGCTTTAACAGCCCCTCTCTTTCTTCAATAGGTTGCACAAATATCTGAACCGCCTGCAGCACCCAAAGGAATGTCTGTCCCACCACCCCCACCTCCAGAGCCACCGAAAGTGGAAATCAAAGGAGAGCCAACTGCCAAACCTGTAAAGGCCTCTGCGAAAGAAGAACCTAAAGCTGCTGGAAAGGAGCCTGTGTCCTCGAAAGGAAAATCAGCCAAAGATACTCTGAGCAAATTTTTCCGCCAGAAGGTAAACAAACAGCTTTAACTGCAGATTACAAGATCCAATCACTATTTTAAGGAATAGCTATTCATGTAGACACTCACTGCATGTTCAATGAGAACACAGTGTGAAACATACTGTATGTCAGTTTGAGGTATTGCTAGGAGTCAAGACCTCCAAAAGCAATGGTGCTTCAGCAAGTGGAGCCAAAGCCCCGGGCAAGACTGCAGCAGTGGTACAGTAAATGATCATATTCTCAAACTGACCATGGCTCATCAGTTACTAACCGAACAAGAGCTCATTTGTCCAGAGGCACCAGAAATTTGCAATTTACTGTTTCCTAATCGGAGCTATAGTTTTGTGAAGTAGCATTAGTCCTGTGCTGAAACCTTTTCTCTTGGGAGAATCAGGTTTTCTTATTTGTTGAGAATAAGATAAGAAGAATGACGTCGTCCTTACGTTTTTGCATAATACATAAAGACAAAAATAAAAGATCATAGTATCAGCATAAGGAGCAGAAGCAGGGACAAAGGGCTAACAAGGCTCATCAGCACCCACCAGCACCACAAATGCTCACCCACAACACTGCATCTCCTTTCTTTTAACCGCACTGACCGTTAAGTCACATTTGCATCACTGTGAGCTCAACGAGAAGCCATTACATTTAGCTGCTGCCCAGAGAAGGTGTTATAGGGCATAACTACAACAGATTTCTTTTTTTTATTTTAGTTTCCGTAGAGCCAAAATAAACAACATGTGTATTTTAAATTAAAAAGGCTTTAATTTACAAGATCAAATCGTTATGTTGTTACATTTTTGAGCATCCATGTTTTTTTTTTCTTTTTTCTTGCTGGATTTTGTCCCATATTTAAACACAGATCAACCAATTCAACTCAACACCTTTCATTTACATACTGAAGAATTACAAGCTGCCAAGACAGCAATAAACAAAAAATAAATAAATAAAAAGTTAAAATGAACAGACAAACAACATGAAGAGGGTAAACTTTCCAACATACATGCGCTAACAGTAAGTGGAGGAAAAAATTAATTGCTATCTGAAATAATTAAAAAGACAAAATTTCATGAAAAAGAATCACATTTACAACAATCAAACTAAACATAAGTGAGTAAAATAGATTACAACACACACACACACACACACACACACACACACACACACACACACACACACACACACACAAAACAACAACAAACTTCTACTTAGTAAAATAAACTAAAACAAGTAATATCCCTGATGAATATTTTAAGATTCTCCCAGATTCGATCAAAGTGGTTTGGAGTACACAATCTATAAACTGGTTTTGTCCTGCACTTTGGACTCATGCCAGAGGAGCTGTGGGGCTGTGCCATGGGCGTAACTATGTGCTGAACATTGGTGGGGGGGGATCTCTGTCTAAATTAATAAATAAATCTGGGTAAATTCCCAGATGATTAAACATGCAACTATTTTGCTGGTAATAACGGAAATGAGTAAAGAGAATCAACAGCCTATTTATGCAAGATAATTCATAATTTTATTGGGGGAGTTATATTGGCTGGGTCTGATTATTGGGGGGGGGGGGGTCATAACCTCCCTAACCCCCCTGGAAATTACACCCCTGGGGAGCTCTTTCTGACTCTTCTAATGCATTGCATTTGAACTTCCTTAACCAGTTGATACAAGTCACCATTCATTGTCATGTTAACATAGTGAGTAGTCCATAAATACAACTTTTCATCTGTTTTGAGGTTCTGAAGTCCTTTTGCATTTCGCTGTCCTGCAGACAATCAGTCATGTGCAACAGTCAGCTGTAGGAGCAGAGGTACAGCCAGGTGTAAACTTACATGTGAACTCGAGCCTGTTTAATCTTCCCAGCTGCATTCAGGGAATGTTACATTAATGTATTAAGATGTGAACATGAATCTTCCGCACACAAGCCTTGCTGGAGACGACTGGATAATTACAAACCATCTTGCCAGAGTTACATAACAAACATGCTTTATGGTTAATTACAGGGTTTGAAATGTTCACCGCAATTTGCATCTGTGCAGAATAAAATAACAGTTTTGCTTTACAGGAGACACCAGTGGAGGTGCCAGCGCCTGTTGTAGAAGTGCAGGTAAATGAAAGGCAACTTCTCACTCTTGGGGCTTTGTACTCTTTTAGGGAGTGGAATGGTCTTTTGAGCCTCTGATTACACCACGTACCCTCTTCCAAAGCTGTTTTTGTATGTAAAGATTCATTTCTATTTGCTTAGATTCAAAATGAGGTTGAACCTCAGGAGGCAGCAGCAGTGGGGGAAGAGCCTGTTGTAGAAGTGCAGGTAAATGAGCAAGAAGTGCTTAGGAATATCAATTCCTGATTTTCTTCACTCTGCAGGCACCTCTGCAATAATGTTGCCACACTTATATGGTACCATAACATTTCCCACATTTACTCTTTGTAATTCATCCATTTTTAAAAAAAATAATTGTATCGCATCACATCCCAAACTGTACAGATTAAACAACCCCCATTATGGCACAAAATTAGTACGATATAAGATTTAATGACTATCACTATTTACGCTCTTCCAATTCAGGATATAACAAATAACTCTCCCTTTTCTGTAGATAAAGGAAGAGGTACCACAACCAGTGGTAGAAACTGAGGTAAATTAGTGGTGTTTAATGTTCTAGGAAAGCTTTTTTTCTTTTCTTATGTTTCTTTTAATAGTTAGGGGAGATGAATGGTGTCACGGTTTGCCGGGGCAAGCCGTGTGAATAATAATGGATCCAAACTGCAGGCTGCTGAAGTGGAGGGTGAGTTTATTGGCAACTAAAAGGTACAACAGACAGGGTGGCGAGGAACAGAACGGTGAAAACTCTAAACTGGGAAAACTAAATAAAACACTAACCGGAATACGAACATGACATGCAGGGAGAATGACCAGAGAATCAACACAGAAGGGTGGAAGGGAAATAACACAGACGAACCAGCAACTACCATGACAGAAGACACAACTTAAATACACCCAGAGAACACAGGGAGATTACACGCAGGGAACACAGCTGGGAGTGATTATCGTGACGAGACTAGGGAGGCAAACTGAAACACTCACATAAGACGCAGACCTTCACAATAAAACAGGAAACACATACACGCAATGACATAACACACCAACTAAACACAGACTGGGGGACACAGAACATAGGAACATGAACAGAAGAATACAAACACCCAAGGTAACCAAAACCACAGAATACTAATAGACTAAACATAAACACGGAGTCGCAGACTCCGGACCATGACAAGTGGCTATAAAATAACCATATGAGTCACATTGATAATCACACTATGTGTGAGGCCAAAGTACCAAGATGGCTGACTGAGCTTTAGCAGAAAGACTACAAGTATGAGGAAGCAGCCTTGCAGCCTTGCACTGTTCAACCGTGACACAATCAACCCAGATATCTGGGGTTATGTGACTCTTCTTTTCTTACTTTCTTGAAGAATTTCCCAAAATGTTTAACTAGCTGTTTCTTTAAAAGTGGACATCTTTGAAATGTAAAGTGAATATTGATGGGCTTTACCTTTTTCCTCTTTCTTCCTCTTTACAGATTTTGGCTTTTGCGCTTGACAATGTGGGCTTCCTCACTAGTTCTTATCTTGATCTGATTATACGCTGTCTCTCTACTCTGATCACAGATATCTTTTTACTGCTTTACCTCCTCTTTCATGTCACAGATGGAAGCTCCTACTCTCACTCTGTCACCTAAATCGATGAGCATCCCTTTGATTTTTTTTCCCTTTTTTTTTAGTAAATATTCATGATACATATTTTTCTTTTTCCTGCTTTGGTTAAAGACGGTGGATTCCTCAAAAGCTGGCACCCAGGAGGCTGCTGCAAAACCAGAGCCGCCGCCACCTGCTCAGGAAGAAAAGAAAAGCGCCTCAAAATCCCCATTCCTTTCTTTCTTCAAGCCTCAAGTAAGAACCTATTCCCATAAACATTTATAAGATCTCTGAAAAGAAACAACTCTGAAATACATTAGGTATGAATTGTGGTGAAATTACAGAATGGTAAGTAACAGGTTAATGTGAATTTGAGGTACTATTAGATCACATGACCACAAAAGTCCAGGCAGCCTCCACAAGTGGAGTTCGGCTCCTCAGGAAAACTACTGGACTGGTAAATACATGAAAATACGTTGCCTCTTGCAAACAGATGCATTATTAACCAGAGTAATTTCATCAATTACGTCTGGTATTAAAACATGCTCTAAACAACTTCTTTGCCAGAAGCATTTTTCTCCATTTGCTGTTATCTTTGAGCATATGTCACCGTCCCTCGTGATGTTGCGCATGATGTCGTATCCTAACAGCAGATGTACATTTTAATCCCACTTCATGTGCCGCCTCAAAGTCCATCTGCACTTAACGAGTGAAGTGTATGAGCCACCGGTGTGTGAATCTCAAGCCTGTCAAGGACTAAAATAATTGAATGCTTCATTATGTGCCGCAACACTTTTAGGCTGCTGAGCCCAAGAAGGTGACCCCAACCCCACCTGCAGCAGCGGAGGCAGCTCAAGCAGTTAAAGCCAAGGAGGAACCTAAAGCGGCAGCCAAGTCTTCAGAGCAAGCTGCAGATAACAAACCAGCCTCTGTGCCTTCCCAAGCTGGCGATGATGCAGCCAGTGTGCCCAAAAAACTGGAAAAGAGGAACTCCATTCAGCTATTCTTTAAAAATCTGGTAAGAAGAACATTGCTTTCCCCAGATATTAACATTAGAAACATGCACAATATCCTTATCACTGCACAGTGCAAAGTATTTTTGTATTATCCCCACTAGATGGCAGCAGACACTTAAGGTGTAGGCTCCACATTACTGAAAACCAAGCGGACTGATATAACACATCTGGAAATGCAGTTTAGTTATAGGACAGTTACCGTTACTTAAATGTAACAAATTTAGTCAGAGTCCAGTTTAATACATTTGATGCCTGTGAAAGAAATTAATAAAGTTTTTGTTTAACTAAAAAAACAATTAAAGCTTATAAAAGACAAAAATTAAATAAAAATAGATATTGAACGAGTTGCATTTTCTAAAGACACTGCAACAAAATGTACCATTTTCTCCCTGCAAACTGTAGACTCAGAAACGTCCTTCTACAGATGCCGGAGTCCAGACAGAGCCACTGACCGCTGCTCAAGGAGCTGAGAAAGCCAAATGAGACCAGAAGCAACCCTTACGTTTTCCTGTACAGTCTCCTTCCCTCCCTCTCACTTGTACTCAGTCCTTCTTTTTCTCTCTTATCACCTTCTTGAATCCCCTGAGTTACTTTGATTACTTTGTTTTTTAATTGTTACTGCTTAAAAGTCACAATAGCAAAGGTAAGGTTTTGGAAGAATAAAGGAAAGTGGACAGAACAGTTAGCAGGGAGTTGAACTTGTGGAGATTTAAAATGGTCAGAGGTTGTTTGGACATATTTTTTGTCACATAAATGTGACATTTTCTACAGACGTTTAAAATGACTTTTCTCTGTTTTGCAATCTAACATACTGGGCTTATGCAATATATAGTGCCATGCTTTGCCTTGAACAACTATTTTGTGTTAAATCGATAAAACTCAATGTCATATAGGTTCTATTTTTACACTTCACACCAGAGAATTCACGCAGTTAAGGTAATGCAGTGGTTAACATGAAGGACGTAGATATGAGTCATAGAAATGCTCTTAATGGAGCTGGTCTAAGGAGTATTAAAGTTTATATAGCAGAGTGTGCTTATAGATTTTTTAACTCTATGCAAGTTATATGTGGACTAAAACAAAAAGGTACATGCCAGAACAGCTATCTTTTAGCTTATATGGGACATCACAATCTCTACTGATCTTTGGGGAACTGATTGTAAATACTCAACAAATGCTTAAAAATGCATCCGAGGTATTGAAACGGTGTCTTTGTGCAAATGTGTCCTTGTGGTATGCTCTGCATTACTCATAAATCACAACCGAGAAGCTTTTATTTTGATTTTAGCACTTTGTGTCGTGTCAACTAACAAAAGTTTTCCGGTGTAAGTAAACTGTGTCAGGCGTATGTGCAATTAATGTGACGCTGTAGTTTGTCGTTATGTAGTGTGTATGTGAAACTTGAGCTATCCTGAAGACAATAAATGCAAATAAATATACCACATGCCTGTTTTGCTTCAGAGTTTTCATTTTTAATGTAAGCTATAAAAGCATGAGGAGTGTTATCAAGAATAATTGGATGTTCCAACAATTTAAAAAACAAAGAAGAAGATGACCAGGCAAGTCTGGCCAAAAAATAAATAAATAAAAGATGCCTCTATTCATGAGCAATGTCATAGCAACCATTTTTATGCATATAAGAGTGCAGCAAAGGTGTAGCGTATCCCGCTACACCCAATCTGGGTGTTAAGCCAAATACTGTAAGTCTGACTCATGTTCATAAAGATCTCTGACAAATCAAAGGAAAAAACTGATCCAATGACCCCTTTGGTGAGAGGATCTGGTGGTTGCATGGCAACATTTTTATATAGGGCAGAGACAGTGCAAATCATTATAAGATTATGGGGAGCCATCTTAACCCTTTATTATGATTAAATGCTTCTGTTGGGAGTGGCCTCTCCCAAGATGGCACCTCGAGCCACAAGTATGTACAAGAATTCAAATCGCATTCTGTGGCCTTCGCAGTCAACAGATCGTTTTCCATTTGAATGAGTGGTCTAACATGCTAGACAGCTGGCTAACGCGCTGCCATGGTCAAAAAAACAAGTTAGGGATTGTGTTTTGGAAATGGTTTTCCTTTTTTGTTTGTTTTTCCTTTAATTTGTCACACACTTGTATATATTTGTAATGCCAACAAATAAATGTTTGTTGACTGGAGAAAAAGCAAATTAACCAGAGGTCATATTTTTTATTTTAGACAGACAGATGGCTGTTGGACATTACTGCTGAATTTTAGTGTCTGTGAGGCGTACCTTGGAGATAAAAAATGTAAAATAAGATCTAAGGAATTTGATATTTCAGGTAAAGGAAGACCTCAAATCATCTTCTCCTTTTATGATGTAATTTCTATGATTGATGGCGTAGTGTGCAGTCTCTGGAAGGATGTGTTTTAGATAGAAGTGTCTGAGAACCACTATTCACCCACCATTAAGTGATGAGTCGCAGCCCCCGAAGGCATAACTCACACTGCTCCTTTGTTATCAATGAGGCACACTATTCTTGTATTACTGTCTATAATAGGTGTGATCATTTTAAATTGTGCATCAAAGTAATTGCCACGGCACTGAGGGAGAAAAAGTGAGGTACTGCTGCTTGCACAGCTTAAGACATGTGCTCCATTGTCTCTCCTTTCCCTGGAGGAATGTCTCAATTAAGATACACTGTGACGACTTTGCCAGCAGTTTTGTTTATGTGTGAAGAGCTCATTTTCATTAGCAAACAGAGTATAGTGTTGATGAACCTGGGAGTGAGGAATTCTGACTGAGTTTTAATGAGATGGAAGTGAAGGAGAAAGCAAAACTACTCACAAATCTCGCTTAGATTACTAAAACTAATTGGAAGAGTGACTAAAAAGATGCCCTTACACAACACTTTAACTGGAAATCACGAGCAACTTTTTGGCCTTTGCTAACAGTTCCAGATGTTTTAAACTTCCGTGTGCAGTTATTTAGAAATCTGCTCAGCCTTTTCTGTATTTAGTGACTTGTCAAATAACAGTGAAGACGATGATAACAGCTGCATGCCCCTACACGCAGCGTTCCAGGAGTGAGAGTTAAGGGAATTCTTTTTCCATACAGTTGGGAAAGTGATTGTGCGTCACAAGGGCTAGTCGCTCCCTTTTTTTTTTTTTTTTGCACAATCACATACGATAATGACCTAAAAAAGCTTATTAATAAAGAGATAGTTCCCAAGTATGGATTTAACAATGCATGGACTGTACACAGTGCAGCAGATTTTCTCAGCCACCATGTTGCTGCAGTTCATCCTAGGACAATGCATGTGACTGTGTGAATGCACTGAGCTCAGAGGGGGTGAAACAGGGGAATAGTGGGAGGAGAGGCCTGATAGGAGACCTCCTGTCAGCACTAATGTGCATCATGGCAGTGCTTGCTAGTAATATGGAATATGAGAGGTTAAAACTATTCTGGGTACTAATGAAAAGAAAAAAGAAAACCGTCATAACCGGTTCTGATCCCTTCACAAACTGATGGAATTTTTTTTTTTTACCTACAAGGAAAAAACAAGCTAAATATCTCAGTGTGTTCCCCCTGCAGTGCTTACGGGGACAACACATGCATGTGCGTGTCTGTTAGGGAAGTTTTGTAACGCGGATGCTACCAACTGTGTCTTTACATTTTTTGTTTGTTTGTTTTAGTCTTTTGAGCGGAAAATTCGATTATACTGCTGTAGGGATGCAAATGAGTGACGTAATCATGATCTGCCTTCAACTGATAGATAAGTGTTCATCTTAAGAACAAGTATACAGGCATACATTTAGACAAAAACACTTTAGCTTCTGTTTTTACACTTGGATACATCAAACTTTGTTCTAAGTTGGTAGAATCTGAGCACATTGTTACAGCTTTGGGATCATTTTGAGAGTAGAGATAATAAAAGATGCTCTTTACATGTCATTATGTGTGCTTAACTTGCTAGAATCTTGGGAATGTGCGCAAATACCACAGCTGTTGTATGTCCAGGCTGCTAAGCTGGTTTTGCTTAGTTTTGTAAACAGAACAAATCAGTTTCAGTTTTAGGTGTGGTGCTCATAACGTATAATTTTATAGAAGAGATCAAGCATTGCAGTCTGAATGACAAGAGACTGCCATCATTATAACTAATAACAAGAGAGTGTTACGTTTGCAAATACATACGTCACTACTACCATAATTTAAAAAGATAAAATTCTTTGCTTTTTTTTTATCATTTGTATATATTTTTCCTGCACAGTTAATCAACAAATAATGTATATCCTTTGTGTCTTTTATATGTGTAACTGTCATTTATGCACTTCACTGAGAGGTCATAGTGAAACAAAGAAAGGTCAGGAAAAAAAAAGTCGTCAAAAGAGGTCACGCAGACAGCGGGGCACTAGCAGCAGGACAAAGAGACACTTCCTTCACCCAGTTTCTACAGTTTCTACACAGAAAAGACGGGTACTGTTTTCAGTATGAACTGTGAGAATTTCTGTTTGGCCACTGATACTTCTATGATCAACAGAACACAACAGCTGGTAGAACTGAATAAACGTTCGGGGTGATAAAGAAGCTTACGTATTATCAGTGTCTTTCAGAAGCGACACCAGGATTATGAAAGAACTCAGGCTGTGAATCTGAAGGAGAACAATGCGGTCAGCTGCTCCTGACACGTCAAGACAAAAAACAAGCCATCACAGCCTTCCCCGAGTCGCTGATCCAATTCCTGTTAGGATGTCTGCCCGCAGAATACATTATAATTCTCTAAAGTACTGCGCTTTTTTCTTACAGATACCCCTTCTTTAATTAGATTTAACTGCTTTTAGCTAAATGTTTTAATAAAGAAACTATCTGAGATAATGACTTCAAAAAAATCTATTAGCATAATGTCAAACAATAGCACAGAGTTAATTAAATCAGTTAAAAGTAAACAATGCTCGGCCACTTGTTGCTGTCATTGCCACTACAGATGATGAATGCTATTTAAATTATCATAGTAAATCAATGATAAAAATTGCAGCCAGCTAAAGATATATTTGTAGGATTAGACACAAACAACCACTGCCTTAAGATAAAAGGCATTTCCCGTGATGGGCTACAACATCTTTTGGCAATTTCATCATCCTGAGGAATGATACTGCTGCTTCAGACTGATAGCTTTTCACAGAGGCTTTGTGGTTGCTGAACAATAGGAAATGACCGGGAGGCCTCGATGTGTCACATGTGGTGCCTTTGATTAACATACTAGCCTTGTTTGCAACAGAATCTCGGGGGAAGGCACGAGTACCTATAACTGAATCGTAGCACTGCGAGGGGAGAAAGTGTTTTTAGTTTAGGGTAAGGTGCCTATGTAAATGAGTCTTACTAAAGAAAAAAATATGTGTTTTTTAAATCAGTGAGCTGAGTTATTTATTAAGACAAAATAGAAATAAAAAAAGTTCATTGGTATCCTTGGAATGAGTGCAATTATCAAATCCACTGTTCAAACCAAATATTTTTATTAAGCATGTTTGCTAGGCTGGAAAACCACATGTTTATTTCATCATGAGAACAATATTGGTTCAACCTGTTTGGTGACAGCAAATGCTTGACAACAGCTTGAAATATAGGCAAAAGAGCAGGCTGCTTACAGCCAATCCTTGGCTCATGTAAGAGCCATAGCTTAAGCAAATCGAGCACTCCAGTCTTTGTTCACTGTTTTTCAACTGGGAGTGGTTACTGATAAAGTTTTGTTTTCTTCCAGACATAGCTGCCATTCTGGGGGGGGGGGGGAGAATATTCAACTTCATTGACTGATTAAGTGCCCATCAGTGTCTCTGCTTTTAAGAGTGGAGGAGGGGTTGATTTTACATAGGAGGGTGTGGAGGCTACTGTAGGTGAAGGTCTTTATCTCACAAGCACCAGTCTATTAATCTTAGGTGATTACACAATCCAACAGTAAATGTGTGCTGATTCTCTATTATTATTAACAGCAATATAGTATGTAACTAAAAGTTAAGGTTTTTCCTTCCATTTTTCTGTAAGATCAAATGTGTTTACACGCACCATCTCATGGCTTTGTCAGAGGTATGTTTTGGGTGGCAACAACTCATATGGGATATAAAAGTGGGCTGTGCGCCTTGGTACGTTTTTGTGTCACCATATAGGAAGAACTTGAAATTTCTCATGACTCAACCAACCTGCTTCTGCAAAAAGAAAAAAAAGCCTCATGTAACTGTGAAAAGTTTGAGGCACCCCTCCCCCAGCTCCACATGGTAGCTGGTGCATGACGTGCTGACTGGCTGCACTTTTAGGTAACTTCTTAAAATGCAGCGTACACATCAAGGAGTGTTATATGGCGTCTATTTAGCGCACTCCCTCTTACTCCGTGGAAGTTTAAAGCATCGTTAGACAGATGATTGAACCGCTCGAAAAGCAAAGCGTGACAACAGACTTCACTGTAAGCGAATACGACTCTAATATTGGCCGTTTGA